CACGTGCTTGCCCTGGCCCGGTTACAAATCCATAAGAAATATGCTTACACCACAAGCCTCTGACGCCCTGATAAGATGAGCTGGCCCTGAGAGTCCCAGTAATGATCTGCATGTCCTTGGCACCTGATAAGAGATTTGTCTGTTATCTGTAAAGCCAGCTATTCTTCAGCCTCCCATAGAAAGAACTGCCTCCCTCCCTAATGCTGCTGACATCTCTTTAGCTTTCAGTCCACTTGTATCTCAAGCAAAAAATAAATTTCCTGGTGTGTTTGTTACATTTGGTCTTGTGTATTTCCATCCGGGCCCTGTTTTACCTATCATCTTCCTGTGCCAGAGAGGAGATTTTTGTTTTTATTTTTTCTGATTTACCCTTAGAGTAAAAATGTGGCCCTTTAAGAGTCTTAGCTTAATTTGGGAAGGTCTCAGTTCCTTCTTCCTGACCTTTGGTAGGCATTTTTTATTTTTTTGTAATCACTTTATGGGTGTGAGAGTCTAAGCTTCCAGGATTCCAAGACTAACAATTCCCCTCCAGGTAGCTATAGTGTCAGCTTATAAACATCCCTTCTTTTCAAGCCTCTTGTTTTGGATTGATAGAAAGTATGGCTAGGCTTGGTGCCTGTAGCTCAGCGGCTAGGGCACCAGCCATATACAATGGAGCTGGCAGGTTGGAACCCAACCTGGGCCTGCCAAACAACAATGACAATTACAACAAAAAAATAGCCACAGTGGCGTCTGTGGCCCAAAAAAGTAGGGTGCTGGCCTTATATACCAGAGGTGGCGGGTTCAAACTCAGCTCTGGCCAAAAAAGGAAAAATAGCTGGGTGTTGTGGCAGGTGCCTATAATCCCAGCTACTTGGGAGGCTGAGGCAAAAGAATTGCTTGAGCCCAAGAATTTGAGGTTGGGTTGCTGTGAGCTGTGATGCCACTGCACTCTACCGAGGGCAACAGAGTGAGACTCTGCCTCAAAAAAAAAGAAATGTGGCTAGACATTTCCGTTCCTTTCTTACTAGCTTAGTTACTCATTTATAACAAAGTTTGTCATGTCACACCAAGCATTTCTAAATGTTTGTTTTGTGCGTGTGCGTGAGAGAGTTCAGATTGTCCATTCTGCCATACAGAATACTTTCATGTTCTCGAGTATATATTTCCTGCCCTATTTTTAAATTTAATTTTTAATAGCAATATGTCTATAGGACATCAATAGGTATCCACTGCAAAGTTGTGCTCATATTCCTTTCCCTACCTACCCCTTTCTTCTCTCTGCCCTTTCTTGCTATTTTTTAAAAAACCGTTTATGAGACTTTTGGTCTGGTTTAAATTCACTACGTATTTTAGAATATGGACCTATTCACTGTGCTGCCTATTGGTGTGTGACATGTTAGAGGATGGAATTATCTGGGGAGAGTGAGATCTTGATAAATATATAGAAAAGACTAATGAAATGTCGATGGACCAAGGAGAACCATTCTATCCCATGTGGTTTTTGGAAATCATATGTATGCTTGCACTAAACTTTTAAAAGTGCTTTTACTGAGCCTTTGTTTAATCTAGAAATATTTGTTGAGTATGCTAGGCAGTGAGGGTACAAAACTGAATAGGTGGCCATCCTTGAAAAAGTAAACAAGCAGTTGGGTTTAGCATGATTATTTTTGCTAGGGGCATGTACACAGAGGAAACGTTCCCAGTGGCTGGAGTGAGAAGAACAAAGGGAACGACACTGCCCAGCTACTGATCCAAGTGGTCTTGTACTGCCAGTAAATAAAGAAAAAGTCAACAAAATGACAAGATCATATGATTGCTTTATCCTTAAGATGGCACTATAAACTCACAATTTCTTTGTAGAAAAAGAATACATAAAAATCACTGAGACTTACCCCAAATTTCACTGAAACCTAGAATGGCTTTAATAATATAAAGTAGAATGGCTTTTTTGTATGTCAGAGACAGTTCTAAGTGCTTGTACGTACTATTCCCATTTTATCTTTACAGATCCCCTAGGAAGCAGAGACAAGTATTTGCCCTGTTGTGTAGACTAGGGAAAGTAATTGGGGAGAGTGTAAGTGACTAGCCTCCATAACATAGCTTATAAGTGGCAGAGCCAGGATTTAAATGTTAACAGCCTAGATGCAGAGACCACTGCGCTTAATCACTGTATTGTTTGACCTCTTTGTGGTAATGCACATGTTAAAAACGCAGCCTTATTGGAATTATCAGTTATGAAATCTTAGGGACCCTCCCTCTGGTCCTGGTTAAATCACAGAGAAGCACATCAAAGAGTACAGGTCTTTGCTGTAGAGAATGAGAGAAGCCATCAGTCTATCTGGGGCACTGTGTGGAGGGTCTACTGGTTTTCACTGCTCTCCCCAGACTGCAGTCAGGAGGCTGTCCCTGCCCTCCTGGGTCAGATCTCTCTCCAAAGCCCTCCCATAACACCCTGGGTGTATGACCACTCCGTACTTGGTACTCTCAACTGTGTTGACTGGTTTGTATCTCTGTGTTCCTCACTCATGAACATCTTTGTAACCTCCATGCTCAGTACAATGCCCGGAGCATAGATTTCTCAAGAAATCTTTCTTGAATCTCTTCTATATTAAATCAGATCCTGCAGCAGAGGCACTATGTTCTCTTTCAGTCTCTTCTGTACACAAATATTCTCCATCCCAAACAGCAAATTATAGGGCAGAAGACAATCTGAGAAAATAATTTCTATCTAAAGCAGTTGTGTGTTTAGGTGCTGTTGAGAATTGGAATAAATACAAGCTCTAGGCTTAAATTGTTAAGCAGTACCTATAAGCCCTTCTCCCTGGGCACTTGTAAACATGAGAAAACTATACCATGCTTATGATCTTTCCTTCTTTTCATCCAGATGAGATATACTTAAAGTGAATGCCAAGGGCAACCTGGAAAGGGAAGAAAATGATCAAACAATTGACTGCTGCAAAAGAGCATAAGTAAGGGAAGAGTTAATCAGTTCACTTTCTACCTCCTCTTCTCTCTTAAATGAACTTCAGTTTTCTCCTCCCCTCCCCTGTCCTGTCCCCTCCCCTCCTCTCCTTTTTTCTTTTTGTTTCAGCTTAAGGTGAGGGTACAAACAACCAGGTCACAATATTTGAATTTGTTAGGTAGAGTCCCTCTTGTAGTTATGTCCCACACCCCAAAGGTGTGCCATACACCCCTACACTGTGCTTCAGGTAGTTTCTTAACATTTGGTAGTTCTTACCTCCTTCCTTTCTGCACCAAGTCAATATGCAACATCCCACCAACACCATTTCTTCTTCTTCTTCTCCTTTTGCTCCTCCCTGCCCTCCCCCCATTCCTCCTCCTTCTCTTTCTCCTTCTTTTGTGGTGTCCCAAGTAGTATTTCTGGTTTAGCAACCTTAGAGGCAATTCTGGTAGCTTATAAACCCTCTTCAAAGAGGGATTCCAAGAACCTTTGCCTAGAGTTTAAATCAGTATTGGGGATGAGTTGGTAGGAGAGCTGCCTGGTGGGTTCAGGAGGCAATTTTGTAAGGATCAGAACACAGGTTTGGCAGTGAAACAGATTTGGATTCAAACTCAGGGCCTATATACTATCTGTTGACTTTGGACAGATTTAGTTTCCCTATTTATAAAATGAAATAACACTAGTTTTTACTTCATGGGCTATTGTCAGGATTAAATAAGCTAATCCATGCAAAACTTTTTTGAACAATGTCTGAAAATAGTATTTAACAAATTTTAGCTGCCATTAGGATTTATGTCACCAGAAAGGAGGCCAGTGACTTCCTTTATTCATCACATATTATAACCCTCTTACTATGCATCAGATATTAAGTTTGGTTCTGAAGATACAATCTTCATTCCTTTGTTCAGCAAATATAACTCTGGATAGGAATGGTACTTTGGGGGAATTTCAATGCTTGGCCTAGGATGCAGTTGAATTGGTCAACATCTTGAGATCTTCCTTTGCCAATGTTTCAACTCTGTTTAGGGATTTCCTCCACTGTAGGTAATTAATCATTATGAATAGAAAGGATTCGATTCACAAAATTTTGTTTTAACATTTCATGTTGTTTTTTCCATAAACCTCAGGATATTTATTTTGTATAGTTGAATACTTTTTGTTTTGTAAGTGAGCTCAAATTCAGAGAGGTATAATGCTCTTAACAGATTACTTCATGGGCTTTGATACTCTTGAGTGGGAAAGCCTCCCAACTCCATGAGAACAATGGACTTTTGGACATAAGAGTAGTTAAGAGGTATAGGGCTTGGGGTCAGAGAGACCTGACTTATAAGTTCTTACAATTAACAGTTGAAGAATCTAAGTCATTTCTTCACTCTTCTGAGACTTGCTTTCCTTATTTACATCTCAGGGGATTTGGAAATATTAAATTCATTCATTCATGCAACAAGGTTTTTATTTTATTTTAAACAGACTCTCATGATCTCGCCCTAGATAGAGTACTGTGGCGTCACAGCTCACAGCAACCCCAAACTTTTGGGCTTAAGTGATTCTCTTGTCTCAACCTCCCAAATATCTGGGACTATAGGCACCTGCCACAATGCCCGGCTATTTTTCTGTTGCAGTTGTCATTATTACTTAGCTGGCCCAGGCTGCGTTTGAACCCGCCAGCCTTGGTGTATGTGGTCCACGTGGTAACCACTGTGCTACGGGTGCTGAGCCAACAAAGTTTTTATTTTGTTGAGCACCTACCATATACCAGATATTGTCTGAGTATTGAGAATATAAAAGTAAACCAAACAGCAAGAATCATTGTCCTCAGAGGCTGTATATTCTAATGAGATAAAATTTGGGGGAAAGTTGAGATTGTTTATGGGAAATAAAGTGCTCTTTAAAAATAAATATTGTATCAATGAATGCAGGGCTATGACACTAATAAAAAGGCTTAAGAAGCATTCTGTTGTGACAGAATGGAGACTCAAATTAGAATCTGCAGTGACATAGGGGAAGATATTCTGATAAATACAAATGATGTAGAAATGAGCTAAATGCTAGTGAAAAGATTTTCAAATGATCTTTTATTAAGTAATTTTATAATTTCATAATAGCTGTTTGAGCACACAAATATATATATACAATTTTCTAACAAGGAAATACAAAGCAGTTTAGTATATCTGTTTGAATTCTTTACCTAAAACCTTAAAACATTATAAAAATCAGTAAAATTATTTATCAAATTCATAAAAATTGCTAAGTATGTGTACATAAGCCTTTTCAAGCTTGCTTTACAAAAAAGAGTGCAATTTCTATCCATGTGCACAAAGTAACTTTCAAAGGTAGTTCCAAGGAAGAAAAAAGAAGGTAGGACTGCCTTGTAATACAGCATTAATTAATACTGACGTACCCTGGGACATTCATGAAAGAGCCTTTGTTGTCACATATGGTGAAAATATTAAAGATTAATATTCTATTTCTATGAATAAAACATAAAAAGACTTAGTTTCCCAGCCTAACTGATTACCATGATAAACTGCATTCATTCTGCAGATATTACTGATACCCCTTGTTATTTACTTTAAAAATATTTATGATAACTTGAAATTCAAAAGGAAACCCACAAGACCTATTCTCCTCCCAACACATTCACTGAATGCAGATTTAAAGGAGCACATCTCATTTTGATTGTGCCTTTTCTTTGCGTACGTTAAAATGACTACAGTGTAGTACATTTGTATTTTTAACTGCTACCAAAATAAAGATGAATGATCTATGCAAAACTACCAGCCTGTACTTCTAGTAGCAGTTGTCATATGCAAAAAGAAAAAAAAAAAAGCCCTGAGTCAGTATTTTCTGCAAAAGTCATGAAGAAGGGTGCTCTGAAGTTGGTGTATAACTTATGAAATGGTTAAGATAGTCCAGTATCCATTTGTTTTGTTTTATTTTGATTGAAGAGAGGTATGGTTTTTGTTTAGTTAATCCAATTCAGATCATTCCTTAGTACTCAATTTCATTTAAGTCTTCAGAATACCCTGATGATTGCTGAGTTATATCTTCTATTTCTGTCAGGAAATAAAAAATACACAATAATAGCATTTTTATTATAGAAAAAATATTTAATCTGCATTCTTTTAGTTTGAGACTGCTTTGCAAAATTCATTATACTCAAGCTTATATAACTGGAGAAAATAGTATTACCTGCACAAGGTCCCCCTTGAAATTTAACATCATCAATGGCAATATCACTTCTTACTGATACTCCTCGAATGGCTTCAAAAATTATCTAAAAAATAATGAAATTTTAATTTAGAGATAGATAAAACTATCTATCTGATACTGATAAAACAATCCTGGTCAAAGCATATGCAAGCTCTTGAGAACTGGAATCTAAGATTGTTTTGGGGGCTCTTGGTAAGGAAAAAGGATACAAAATTACAAATTCAGGCTTGGCGCCTGTAGCGCAGTGGCTAGGGCGCCAGCCACATACACTGGAGCTGGGGAGTTTGAAACCAGCCCAGGCCTGCCAAACAACAATGACAACTACAACCAAAAAATAGCCAGACGCTGTGGCAGGTGCCTGTAGTCCCAGCTACTTGGAAGGCTGAGGCAAGAGAATCGCTGAAGCCTAAGAGTTTGAGGTTGCTGTGAGCTGTGATGCCGCAGCACTCTGCCAAGAGTGACATAGTGAGAATCTGTCTCAAACAAAACGAAACAAAATTACAAATTCAAATTTAGGTACTGAAGAGGATATTTATTTGGAATTTAAAGAGATTCAACATAAAGGAGTCTTGAAGATTCAGGTCCCTTTTTTCTGAGATCTCTTTTGGCAAGTTCCCAGAAATGTTTACCTAGAAATGCCTTCCGGTGGTGACTTGCTGTCCCCTTTCCAACTAGAACACTCTACCTCTAGCATCTATCTGTCAGCACCCATAGGGCCCATGAAAATGAGGGTCTAGAAACTTAAACTTTCTTACTCTCCACAAATATACCCTTGATACTAGTACTAGCTGGAAAAGTTTAGTATGACTGATAATATCCACGTATGAACAGAAAGCCATAATAATTACTTTTGCCAGAGACAATGGTTCACATATGTTAAGTATCACAGCATCAAAGACACAGCCAGGGAGATGAAGGATCAGTTTCATAACTTTAGATTCTGAGAAGAAAATAACTGATCACATATTCTGGTTCTAGGAAAAATAGTTACCAGCTCTAAGGCTGTCCCAACAACGGTTAATAAACTACTAAATACTCTGATGAGGCTCATGGGTAATGAAAATTACCCGCAAGATATATTTGTTCTACACATTTTATGAGCAAATGACTCTTCATTAGATTAGTTTATGATTTAAATTCAATAAAAAATAAAGTCCTTAAACTAATTTCTTTTAAACTTTCCCCCAAATTAAATCAAAGAACATAAATTGAATAATTAATAAGTTAATACATTAACATGAAATTAATGACTCAAAGAAGCTTTAATGACAAACATATGGCAGAACACCATTAATAAAAATTCAAAGGAAAAAACATGGGATGCTTAATTTTATGTGTCAGCTCGACTTGGTTAAAGGCTACCCAGATCGCTGGTAAAGCATTATTTCTGTGTATATCTGTGAGAGTGCTTCTCCAAGAGACTGATATTTGAATCAGTGGATTATGCATTTATAACATTCACCCTGGATGGATGCAGTGGCTTATGCCTGTAATCCTAACACTTTGGGAGGCTGAATTCCTTTGAGCTCAGCAGTTTGAGACCAGCCTGAGCAAGAGCAAGACCCCTGTCTCTACTAAAAATAGAAAATCTAGTTGGGCATGGTGGTGGGTGCCTGTAGTCCCAGCTACTCAGGAGGCTGAGGCAAGAAGGTTGATCAAAAGAATTATGCACAGCTCTTAGCACTGTAAGTGCCTGGCACATAGAAGATGGCTGAACTATGTGTGTGTGAGTGTACCTGCATTTTATTGGACACTAGGACATTTTGGAGCAACTGGCTCAGCCTGGTCTGCCTGCCGTTATTTGTGATTCCTGAGGGAATCACAATTCCAGAGGAGAAGATTCATGTCTCTTCCATTCCAAGCCAAGGAGAACGGTCTGGAATTTTCTTTCCTATGAGCTATAAATCTTTAGGTCTACTGAGATACCTATGAACTTGAGCACCCAAAGATCTTGCCACCTCAGATGCCTCAACATTCTGAACTCAAAAAACATTTCAAATGACCAGCTATGCAGCAAGTTTAGTATGTGTAAGGCCACGGGCCTGATGCCTAGAGCTTAGAGGCTGAGAAGTTGCCTGTCCCTAGAACTCAAACCTTAGAGCACTTGTGCATCAGCATCATTTGGGAGTTTTAAAAAACATTAACACTCTGGTGCTACCACCAAAGGTTTAGATTCATTTACTGCACTGTAAAGATTCTCTATCTTTATGGTGCATCAGAGTCACCTAGAAGGCTTATTAAAACAGATTTCTGGGATCCCGGCAATCTCCAGAGTTTCTGATTTAGTAGTTCTAATATAGGGCCTGAGGTTTTGCATTTCAGATATGCTGATGGTGCTGGTACCTGGACCGCTCTTTGAGAACATTTAAGTAAGGTAGAAATATGCGTGCCCTAATAGCCTGACAAAATTAATCTATTATCTCTTGAATAATAATAAATTACATTAGTAAGTTTCTGGGCAATCTACTTCTCTTTTGTAAAGAGACATTCAATCACTATCAAAATCCCTCCTGGGGCTGTTATTTTTTACTAAATTTCTTGACCGTTTATCCACACTGAGATAATGAAACTTTCTTAGGTAGTGGCACATCTTTCCCTCTATCATCTAGTTTTTAACGAGGCTGCATCCTCGATGGCACTATACAACCTGGTCACCTGAGCTTCTAAAATTCCTTCCCATTTAGGTCTGTTGAAAATTATTTCTGATTGTTGAGTATTGCAAAATAAATCCCTTGTTTTAGATATCTCTTCTGAGGAAGATCTGGGCTTTGACCAGGTAGCCAGTGGTTAAAGCTGAGGAGTGCAGGCCCAGGAGGTTTATCAGCCAGAAACAATCATGAGGAGGAAGCGAGGTTTTTAGTAGGAGGTCATGCTTAAGAATTCTATACATCAATTTCAAGAACAGTCAAGAATCCGAAGTTTATCTCCCCAGAGCTTTCTAGAGCAGTGATTTTCAACTGGTGTGCCGTGGCACACGGGTGTGCCCTGAGAGGATCTTAAGTGTGCTGTGAAAATTTTTAAAGAGCATTAATTAAATTATTTTCAAAAGTAGTTCAAAGCACTATTAAGTCTATTCTTTTTTTTCTTTGTTCTTTTTTTTAATCAACATAATTTAAATCTGCTGTGCAAGTTTAACTATAGGTTCAAGTGTGCTGTGAGATAAAAAGTATGCTGGAGCTGGTGAGTTCAAACCCAGCCCAGGCCTGCCAAACAACAATGGCAACTACAACCAAAAAATAGCCGGGCATTGTGGCAGGTGCCTGTAGTCCCAGCTACGTGGGAGGCTGAGGCAAGAGAACTGCTGAAGCCCAAGAGTTTGAGGTTGCTGTGAGCTGTGATGCCACTGCGCTCTACTGAGAGGGACATAGTAAAAACACTATTCTAGAGCTTTGGTTCATGGCAGGCAGGTGGTGTCCAGACAAGATTGGCCCCACCTACTGGAATTTGTTATAAAAAGCTTTTTCCTATGGCTGCCCAGATTTACTTATGACTGGGCATAGGATGGTCTCTTCTATAGCAGATGAGAGGACCCTGGGAGGGGGTCAGGATTAGTATCAAGACTCTCCGTTTCTTAGTTACTGTGTTAAGACATTTATATTCTACACCTAGAAAATGCCGTGAAGGCTATGTTGACCAGTTTGATGAAAGCATTTCAGATTGTGCGTAAAACTAGCACTTTGTACCCCACGATTGCATTAATGTACACAGCTACGATTTAATAAAAAAAAAAATTAAAAAAGAAGATTCTCAGTTTCTTTTGCATCAATGCAGCAATGAGGGCAGAGGTTTTAAAACAAACAAACAAACAAAAAAAAATCAAACTTACTCCTTGGAGTAGACCATATACACTGTTAAATATAGGCTTAAAACCACAGCCCTTACATGCATGTGGGTAACGATGAGTAAAAGACACAGTTGTAAAAACAAATTAGATACTTCCATATTTAGAAGAAAGGCAGACTTTGTTCTGGAGAGTTTGAAGATATATAGAAATATCTGACACCCATAATGTATCAAGACAAAAATAGATAGACTTTCATCACTGAATTGCCAAAAAAAAATCACTCTCTACCTAAATTCCTGAGGCGTTCTCTCCCTATTTAATTCCTTATTCACTGTTTAGATTTAATCAATATATAGACTAATTATGTTTATTCTTAATCCTCCCTTTATCTCTGACCCTGAAAAAGAACCATACTGTCTTTGGTAGCAAGAAAAAAGGAACAACAGAAGCTTATACACATGTTTTCCATCGCCCGATTCTCATCTCTCGTCTTACCTGGTGTTGCCTCTCACAGCTGTATTCAATCAGTGCTCGTAGCCAGGAAATGCTCTGTTCACCTTTTCTTCTCCACAAGAGAGACTCTTCACTGTCTTCCTCTTTTTTCAAGTAAACATTCAGCACACCAGTCCCCGCTCCATACATGTGGTAGAAAAAGGTCAAGCAGTGTTTTCCGGAGACCCCTCTAAGAGCCCCTGATGAGAGGCGAGCCTTTTGTCCATACACCATGTGGGAGGCCTCAATGTACATGTAGTAGCCTTGAGAGAAATGCAAAAGCAGGTGTTGTTAAAAAGGACACACATTATATTTTCTTCTTTCACAGTGTTCCTGGAAACGTGGTTGATTTGACTGTAGCACTGAGGAGTACTACTCAGGAGACTGAGGCATGAAGATCTCTTGAGCCCAGGAGTTTAAGGTTGCCATGAGCTGGGCTAAAAGCCTTGGCACTTTTGCCTGGGAAATAGGGTGAGTGCCCAAAAAGCCAATACCTCCCCCTACACACACATCAGAAGTTATCTTAGTAATTCATGGATAATATTCCGAAGCTGCCAGGCATTTGTTTAAGGGAAAGGGCCTGGCTTTTGTAGTCATGAAGATCTGGGTTCAAGTCTCGACTCGAATACTTGTTGTCTTCATTATCCTGGTCTAATGAACGATCTTCTCTGAATTTATATTCAACATCTTACAATAAAGGTCGACAATACCTATGTTGCAGAGTTGTGAGAATTAAAGGATCTATGACATATGCCTGCATGTAATACAAATTCAAATATTAATTTTCTGTCCTGCTCACTTCCTAAAATTTTTCCTATCACTTTTTTTAGTTTTGAAAACATATTCTAATCTGTAACATTTTAAAATTGCCTTCCTAGTTCCCTTTTGTAATTTTATTTTATTATTATTTTTTAATTTGCTGGTTTCAGGCAGAGAGATTAGTTTGCATGCATATAAGACAATGGTGTGATGCAGACAGCTTCTACTGGCTCCCAGGAGTCAATTGTATATATCCTTTCTCAGCTCCAAGTGACTTCATTTATGAAGCCCATTTATGAATGGGCCATGATAAAAGTATTTACACCACAAAAATAGGACATGAATGCAAATCAGCACCCTGTCTCCAAAGATAGCCAGCTGATATTAAACAATTGTCATCATGTCACTGAAATCAAGGTATAAATGAATAGTGATTAAAGAGATCTTTTCTAAAGTAATGCATCAGTAGTATAATTCTGTGCAGTTGAGGTCCATTTTTAAAAAGGTCCTGAACTCTCCATCAATAGTTCTTAACCTCTGATCATTTGATTGAAAATTTTGATCACTTGTGTTTGAAAAATAAAATCCACAGAAAACATTTGCATGCAATTTCATTGCATTGTTTGGTGTTATGTTCATATTTGGGTTGGATGTTTGTGTTACCCAAAATTTTTATGTGGAAACCCTAAATGGGTCCTTTGGGAAATAATTAGAATTAGATGAGGTCATGAGGATGGGGCCCTCATGATGGTATTGGTGCCCTTATAAGATTTACCAGAAAGCTTTCTCTCTCTCTCCCTCCCTCCCTCCCTCCCTCCCTCCCATCCTGTATGCATATATCACAAAAAGTCCATGTATGCACACTGTGAGACTGTGGCTCTCTGCAAGCCAGAAAGAGCTCTCACCAGGACCCAAAACAGCTATCACCTTGACCTTGGGCTTCCCAGCCTCCAGAACTGTAAGAGATAACTTCTGTTGTTTAAGCCACCCAGTCTATGATATTTTATTATGGTAGACTAAGCTAACTAAAACGTTTGGTAATTTTTTTTTACATATGTGATATGAAAATAGTCTTTACAAAGTATCATGTTTCATTATTTCAAGTAGAAATTAATGGTCAAGTTGAGGGGAAAAATAAAGAGATCCCAAATAAGACATGCAAATGAAATATTTCCTAAGTATCTTTCTTTACAGCTTGAAGTTTAATCAGTGAACTATAATCATTTCTCAAAATATGGCAATTGAGATATTGCAACAAGAATTGATTGCACCTCCAAGGCATTCCTTCTTTTTTTCCCTGTTTTCACAAACACAGATACAAAGAGTCCTGCAGGCCTGTTAAAAGGGTAGGAGAAGGCATCACAGGTCTTATTAAATTGTGTACATTGTACAATCCCTTCCCCTAGCGTTTTACTCTGTAAAGTTTTAACCCTGAAAAACTGGGCTATTCAACTCCTGGGGTGTGGCCTCCATCAACTAGTCACATCTTTAGGAATGATGCTACCCCAGAGAAGAAGAATAAGGGCAGTGTTTTGTGTCTGTCACTTCAGGTTGCTTGTAATCAAGCCACAGTGCCAACAAAGCCTCTGATAGGTATGGATGGATCCCTGGATACAGTGAGCAAGTAGAAATTAAAACATCCTTGGGGTACTCTAAAGACTATATACATTTAAGCCCTGTTCAAAAGTAAAGTTACATCAGAAGGCTAGCTGGCTTACATAAGAAATTGAAATTATGGCAGTGGATCTGGTACATAACATTTGACATCCAATTTCAATTTTTCATTTCTTTGGCAGTAGTTTGATCCAGAGACATGCTAAACGGAAGTGGCATAGCTGTCAATTTCCCCATAATCTACTTTAAAATATAAAGAGAAAATTTGTCAGTGTTCTGGAGTGCTTACCAATGATGTCCTCATCACCAAAGCCCAATGGTCATTTTCCGGTCCCTGTCATTTTTGCACTATAGTAGTTTTGGACAGAGTAGATTCAACCCTGACTTTCAGAATTACTTTCTTACCTACACACCTGCAAGCGCACTAACAGCCCAGTTGCCCAGGGACTCATGTGTTACTTCTCCCCTTCTCTCACTCTCCACATCCAGGCCATCAGGAATTCCCATTTGCTCTACATATCCAGAATCCAGTCACTTCTCTCGCACCACTCCACTGTTGCCACTCTGAGCTGCTATCATTTTTCACTTGGATTATGCACCAGCTTCCCAATTAGTCAGTCTGCTTCTACCCTTGCCCTACAATCTAATTCCTACATTGTATCCATAGTGAATCTTCTAAAAACAAAAGCAAAATCTTACCACTCCTTTGTTTAAAACTTCCATTAACTCAGCATTTCAGAGTAAAACCTGGAGCCCTTGTCATTGTCCTAGGACCTTATGTAATTTCCCAGCATTCTCTTATACCTATCTGGTCCCTACTACCTTTCTCCTCACCCATCCTGTGTTGCTCAGCTACACAAACACCAACGAAAACTGAAGAGCAAAAAAAATATGCATCACTCTGGCCTCTGTGTTGTTGCTGTAGTATGATAGGTATGATGCTATCTTAGGGCCTTTGCACTTGCTAATCCTGGTTTCTCTCCCAGGTATTCTCTGGTCTCACTCTTTTACCTCTTTTAAGGCTTTGGTCAAATGTTACCTTTTCTATTAGACCTATTCTGACTACATCCTTTCAAATTGCAACTCCCCTCCTCTGATACTCTTTAGTTCCTTCAGGAGTGTCTAACCTGCAGCCTGCCAGCCACATGCAGATTATTTGAGGCCTGTTTTGCTTATGTGTGGTGTTGGATATTGTGAAAATTATGCACAGACTTTTTTTTTGCTCTTCAGCTTTCATTGGTGTTTGTGTATTTAATGTGTGGCCCGAGACAACTCTTCTTCTTCCAATGTGCAGCAGCAAGGAAAAAAAATTGGATGCCCTTGTATTCTAATTTATTATTTTTCCCATTGCATTTAATCACCTCTTAACATACTATGTAAGTTTCTTATTTTTTATGTTTGTATCTCTCCTGTAGATTTCACAAAGCCAGATGTTCTTCCTTATTTAGATCGTTGCCATGTCCCCAGGTCCTAGAAGAGTGCTTGGAATATAGATGCTCAATAAATATTTATTTAGTTAAGTAAATGCATTAAGTAAATGCATTGTCTAAGCACAAACTAGCTTGGCCATTTCTAGAGCACATGGCTCCACCAAAATTACTCCAAATGGCTGAGGTTCTTGGCAATAAGTTGTATCCTTGACTAGGATGCTCCAAAGCAAAATAGAAAAATCCAAGTCTGAGAAAATGACTCTCAAATTAGTAACATAGCATCTGATGTATTTCTTTTAAATGAGCACCCATATGATAATTCTTTGACTTTATTACCTTGATTCTTGCACTGGCAAGAAAATTGCTACCCAAGAAGCACTGGGGGTTTTACGCATTCAGCAATGAAAGGAACTTTCATTGTACTATGCTTTCAGTTCAGGCACCTCTGGATCTTGGGTGTTAAACTGACACTATTAGCTAAGGTTTCTGGTTCCAGAAAGTTTTATGGTTAGCACTATGAAGTATAAAAAGTAATCTCCTATGTTATTTGACCTGTAAGTATGCTGCTTTTGGAAGATAGCCATAATATCTAGGGCAGCGGTTCTCAACCTGTGGGTCGTGACACTCAGGAACTATATTAAAGTGCTGCAGCATTAGGAAGGTTGAGAACCACTGATCTAGGGTAATGACACCAGTCTACTAGTCTACTTTTCTTGAGTAATTTTGGCCTTGCAAATATCCTTCAGGATATAGTTTGTATTTTGAGCACACATTACAGTAGTCCCCCCCATCCTCGGGTTATGCATTTCCTAGACCCCCAGTGGGTGCTGAAAGGTATAAACAATTGCATCCAGAGATAAAATCGAAGCAGAAGAGACGGTTAGGTCAGCTTTGAAAAAGCAGAGGGTGATCTGTCTGGGCAGTGCAAAGATAGTATCCCCACTGAGCGTGGTTGGGGGCTAGTTTTTATACTGGGCATAGGGGGAGAGAGATTCCACAGGTTGCAAGAAGGCCTTGGTGGGCTGGGGTCTTTCTGGCAGAACTCTTAGGGTGGGGCCAGGTAGGCCTTTTGTTTGGGGAGGGGAGGTGGGGGCTTTAGGCACCTAGCAGGTACCTGAAACTGTGGATAGTTTTGAACCCTATATACAGGATGCCATAAAGTTCCTGTGCAATTTAAAATAACATGTAATTTTAAATTGTACACAGACTTTATAGCCACCCTGTCTATGATGATGTTTGCTCCTATGCATACATATCTATTATAAAGTTGAATTTGCAAATTAGCCACAGTAAAAGATTAATAACAATAACTAATAATAAAGTAGAACAAGTATAATAATATTCAAAATGGTACATAATTTAAAATTTATAAATTGTTTATTTCTAGAATATTCCATTTACTGTTTTTAGACTTGTTGACTAAGGATTATTGAAACCACAGAAAGAGAATCTGTGTAAGA